CTCCCCTTTCTTTTATTTCCCTTTTTAATTTTTCTGTGAATAAGTAGTTTTGACATGTTGAAGAGTTGGCATGTACATATGTTCGATCTTTGATTTAACTATGTAAGTTATTGCTCTAACCATCTTTACCAATACTGCCCACATCAAGTGAGTAAAAAAAAAGGTTAGAAAAAACAAATTTTGAGTCCCACATAGCAGATTTTAAAGCTTGGTAATGGACTGTTATAAAAAAAAAAAACTTATCAAGATGATCGGGCAGTATACTCTATACTGTACTAAGCTTTTGTCGATTTTAAAATATCATCAATGTATCACTGCCCCTTTCTTAAACATGCATTTAAATGACGGGGACGCCTCCTTCTACTTCATAATTTGACTATAAATGTGTAAATTAAGAAAAAACAACGTGAGTCTTTTTTTTTCAATTGTCTTGAAAGTTATGCAAATAATGTCACCTATCAATTATTCCAGATGAGCAATGGACAAATCTGCCTTAATTATTAACAATTTGTATTTAATTTGGTCGTCCTTCAGTTGTTGACGAACTTGCTTGCAGTTATACAAGAACTGCTTACAGCGTTGACGTGGATAACATTGCCATAGCTTCCGCTGCTGACAGTACAAAATCACCGGAAAATTATGATGAAAAGCAACCGATATCACCAACAGCATCCGTTGATGGCTTACCGCAAAGTAGTAACAATAGCAATGCTGAACAACCAACACCTGTTCTTAAGACGCGCGTACGAACACAACGTTACGAAGCATACAGAACCCCTCGTAGAATATGGAAACAGCAGAAACAATCGGCATTGCATGTATGTTGGAAAGATAATTATTTTCCCACGCTTTCTATTTCTTTGAAGTTAACTTAGATTTCCATTGAATTTTTTTAGGAAACTTTTAAATTTCCATTCAGGAAAATTTGGAAAACTAATAATTATCTAAACTTAACTAAAGTTTTCTTTTCCTTACATTTGGGAATGCATATATCTCGGGTCCCGATATGAGCTTATGCGATATCTTAACTTTCTGATTTTCTTCAGAATAATTTAGTAAAGATTCAACTTTTTATGATTATGTACTTTTTATAATTATGTCAAAGTGTGCTTGCATACTTTTAGCAGATTATTCCTTTTGTAGCATAGTCATGGCATCATTAACAACGCTTTTTCTGGTGTTCCGACGGGCGAGACAGTTGCAGAGATTTTGCGATCTGTGGTAAGACTTTTCTTTTTACTTCTTTCTGTAGAGAATTCAAGTTTTCTTGTAGCGATTATGTACGTGTGCAAATTTTGTAGATAACGGTAATAGTAAATATTGTTCGACATATTTGAAAGATCCTTGAGTATCGTTTCGCTGATAAAATATATTACCAGTTGTCGAAACTTGAGTAGTGAATAGGATATTTTCAAATCTTGAATGAATATAAAAATGGCGTGAAAAATTTTCATTGTAGCTGTTCTACTTATTTCGTTTCGATTATTAATGCTTTATAAATGTTTTATCATTTTATTTAACATATTCTTATATGTTTAGTTGCAATTTATTTTAGCGAGTTACCTCAGATGGGTTACCACCATACAGCTTAAATCCGAATCCGCATCAGCATTTGCAGCAGCAGCAACAGCAGCAGCACTTTTCATCTCCTCCGTTATGCGACAGTTCTTCAAGATGGGAGAATGTTGGTAAGGAGAACAATCCGTTTTGTTTGGTCATGTTTTGCTGTTCTTCGACTGATTAGATTTTTGGATTTTTTATCATTTTATAATCGAAATTTTGTTTACTAAGCGCAGTAGTCATATGCTAATTATTTTGTGCTCTTTTATTATTATATGCAATATCCATTCCAATCCCAAAATTATTGCATATAGAACTTTTCAGTTTTTCAGTTTTGGATTTTCGCTGAAAATTGATATTTACAGGTCGAGTGTGGGTAGATATGATGAAAACGATACGATCACCTCAGCTAGCATTAGCAGCACACAAATATATCATGAACACGTTGTTTTCCGTTCTAGAAGCTGATCAACAGCTTGCTGGTACCGACCCAAGTGTAACCCGTATCCGTATTAAGGATAGTGCTCCACAAATCGAAATTACCATGCATCAATGATATTTTGATTTTCTAAATTCTCTTTTTAATAGATATATTCTCGAATTGAGTACACGTCTATATTGCTTAACGTTTGCATGGTTTTAGTGATAGCATAATCTCTGCTTGTTTTTTTTTTTTTTTTGGCTCTCTTTAAGTCGATAAATCGATTAGATTTCTGTAAAATATGATGCAAAATCTCATCATTCTGTTAACTGAAATTTTGTTCATAGCCATGTAGCTATTTCTTTTTATTTCTGATTAAAAAATTTAAAATAATCAGAATGGAACAGTAAGAGATAGATTCTGAGTGAGTGACCGTGCTGAAATCGAAAATTTGTTTTATTTTCTGAAGGAAGATATGCAAATTGCTAAAGATATAACGATTCGTGTATTATTATTTATTATTTGTTGCGATAATTGTTATAACAGGACTGTTAGCCATAAAATTTTAGTTTAATTCAAATAAAAATACTTAGAGATCAGTGTAGAGTCGAATGTTCGTTTATGTAGTGGGTGAAGGAAATAAGTGGAAAGATAAGCTCCAGAATGTAATTATAAATAATAGTCCTTATAATTCTCCATTTGATAACTGACTATTTTCGGATAATTTCCCTCTGTCTTCCACACAAGCCAAGAAATTCTGGTGTCAATCATTCATTGCTTTACTATCTCAACAGGGATCTTTGTATATATAAATTATTGCTGTTTGATAACTAAAAATATTTGTGCATTTTTTCGCAGTTTTCTTTTTCGTAGGATTGAACAAATCAAGGATGCGTTTTCGTTTCCATTTTCTTGAACAGTAAGTTCCTCAAATCATTTTAATCTATATTCTCTTCTCCGAAATACCGTCTTCAGAAACCGAATTCTGTACCAGATGATGCGAATTGTTTTTCTCTGCATCTCTGGGTTTTTTTTTTCTTGTCATCCGAAGTTAACCGTCATTGGTGGCAGAAGTTGCGTTGAGTAATTTTTAGCAAGTTGTTGCAAATTTCAACCTTTGAATCGTTATTTAAATAAATCTTATTTGCTAATGTATAATTAGATCTCATCCCTACCTGTAAAATTGTTCATTTCTCTTCAACAAGTTTATTTCTCTCCTATTCTCTAATACTTCATTCTTACCTAATCATTAAACATGTTTATTCATATCAAATCTACAGAATTTGCCAATATATATAGATATGTGAGCAATGTAATAAATATTTATTCAAATAAAATTTCCGTTGAAACATGTTTACATGCAAAATTGTGACAGTGGATCGGGATGTACAGTTAGTATTCACAGTACAAAACATTTCTTTTGTTGTTAATTGATTAAAATCATAATCATTTCGTCTCAAATTAAAAAAAAAGAACGGAAATTCCATATGAAATATAAGGAAGCAGTCTTCCGATAATTTTTCTACTATCTGCAAATTTTCAAAAAAAAATTTTAAGCATACTGCGATTAAAGGAGGGCAAAATATCACATAGTGCCACAGTTTTTGAAAATATTTTCAAGGGTTTGTAAAGCACAATACCAAACAAACCGTATTCAATATTTGAGTTTTTAGAATGTGAAATCAGAGATAAAGTTAACCCATTTAGGATAAAATTCTAAATTAATAAAAGCAAGGATAAAGTAAGTTAAAACATTAGGTTATACCTGTATTAAAATACATTCTATAGTCTCAAGAAGGTGTAGTTTGATGGAAATTACAATTTTCGATTAACATTAACAAGTGAAATACATTAAATCATACGCAATAATACCTACGAATTATTCAGGTAATTAGAAATTAGAAATTTAATTGTATTTCATTATCTTCAATCAATTTTGCTTCCTTCAAGCCATTTTTGTATCTCTTCTTTGTCGATCATGTTTTGCGAAAGCCGGTAGCGAGTTCACC